ACAGCCCAAATCTCCACAAAAGGGAAATGCACTCAGAAAAAAAAGCTACACTTGATATAATTAAATAACTTAAAAATATGATGTCACTTCCATTTAAAATGAGTGAATACAGGAGACACTGCTAAATCCCACAGTACAGTGGGACAGTCCAATACCTTTGTCTTAAGATGTCTCTTCCCTGCAGCAGCTGATCTTTCTCAGAGTTGTCAATAGCAATTTTGCAGGCCAGATTTGCCTTTCTCCAGGCTGCCTGGTTGCTGAAATCACGACAGCAGAGTGTTGTAACGTGACAGGAACACCTTGCAAGCACAGACAATTTTCACAAAGCAACCTCCACTGTAACTGGGCACCCCAATACTTGCAAAGACCCTCTGAATCCAAGAAATATTTGCGGTGGAAAATACTTCCAAGATCATCAAGTCCAACCTGTGCCCCATCCCCAGCTTGTCCCCAGCCCAGAGCTCTGAATGCCACCTCCAGGGATGGGGATCCAATCCTCCCTGGGCAGTTCCAGTGCCTGAGCTCCCTTTCCATGGGGAAATTCCTGCTGCTGTCCACCCTGAGCCTGCCCTGACCCAGCCTGGGGCTGTTCCCTCTCATCATGGTAGCCCACCTGGCTGTCCCCTTCTGGCAGGAGCCAGAAGGTCCCCCCTGATCCCCCTTTTCTCCAGGCTGAGCCCCTTTTCCAGTTCCCTCAGCCCTACACTTTCTCTCTATTCCTGCACACACCAAGAGCATTCTATCCTGATATTCCCACTCCTCAGGGTAGCATTTATGAAGCAAGGGAAGAAGAAAACTGTGCCAGCTGTCAAACAACAGACTCCTCATCCACCTCCTTTGAGCTCAAGTGCTCAAAGTGACAGATCAGAGTTAGGAAATCAGGCCAGGAGAAGGGAGTTGTACCCTTTCTGTCCCTGACCTCTTGGGCTGGGGTAAAACACGTGTTAGTGTCTGCACTTCCAAACCAGACTCTGAGGCAGCAAACTCAGCCCATCTCTGGTTACAGCGGACTTGGGAACAGCACCAGCTGCCGGACCCACCTGAGCATTTGCTTCTTGTGGTTCTCCACCTCCCGCAGCAAGGCTTGTTTCTCCGACTCCTTGTCCTGCTCCTTGGCCATCTGCTCCAGCTCCTTTGGCGGAGAGCACAAACACCAGAACCTCACCAACCACCCGCAACTCGCACAGCCCAGCCCCGGCCGGGGAGCGGATTCGGAGCAGATTTATCTGATAAACCCCCAATCCAGGGCTGCGACTCACCAAATCACAGCCGGGACCCCCAAACGCAAGGCCGGGATTCCCCAAAACACGCGCAGAACACCCCAAACCCCGGCAGGAACCCACAGCCGGGATCCTCCAGCCCCGGGCCGGCATCCCGCAAAGCACAGCCGAGACCCCCAAAGCACAGCCGCTGGGTCCGGAGCACAGCTCGGCGCCCTCAGCAGCCCCCGGCCAGGCCCTTCACCTGGATGCGGCCGCGGAGGTGTCGGAACTTCTCCTTCACGGCGCCATTGAGCTCCGTGAGGGCGCTGAGCGGCCCAGGGCAGTCCCGGATGTCCTGGAACACAACGGCGCGGTCAGCGCGGGCCAGGCTCGCCCCGCGGCCGTGCCGGGGTGTCCCGGGGCTGGCGGCGGTACCTGCACGGCCGCTTTGATCTCCAGGTCGAACTTGACGATCTCCTGGTGGCAAACCCGCAGCGGCACCGCCGCGGCCGCCGCCGCCATTTTGGCCGGGCAGGGCAGGGCCGGGGCGCGCGGGCGCCCCCTGCGGGCGGCGGGCGGGGCTGAGGGGCCGCGGCGGGGCCGGTCCGCCGGGAACGGGTGGCCGAGCGCGGGGCTGATCCGCCGGGAACGCACTGCCCCACAGGGCTCACTGGTGTGAGCAACAGAATCCCAGGATCACCGCGGCTAAAAAACACCTCCGAAACACATCGAGTCCAAGCTGTGCCCCATCCCCACCTTGTCACAAGCCCAGAGCTCCGAGAGCCACCTCCAGCCCTTCCTGGGACACCTCCAGGACTCCAAACCTCCCTGGGTAGTTCCAGTGGCCATTTTTCCATGGGGAAATTCCTGCTGCTGTCCATCCTGAGGGTCCCCATTCCCAGCCTGAGGCCGTTCCCTCTCCTGTCCCTGTTCCCTGGGAGCAGAGCCCCTCTGGCCGTCCCTCAGGGAGTTGTGCAGAGCCAGAAGATTCCTCTGGAGAAGTTCCAGGTTCACCGCCAAGAGCCTCCCTGGGTTTCTGGCCAGGCCAGGCTGGCGCTGCTCATGAGCAGGGTGGGGAACACGAGGTCTCTTCTGCAGCCCTGAAATGAGAAGCAGGGCAATGCCCTTTGCTTTAAGTCCCACAAACTCCCCGCTGGTGCCGCGGCCTTTCCCTGCTGCCCTCAGACCCTTTGGCCAAAGGAGCTGGAGACATTTCCACAGGACCTGCGGGGAGCCGGTTTCTCCAGGCACTAATCCAGGTTCTCCAGATGGTCCTACACCGACCCAGCAGTGCTGAGCATGAAGAAGGAAAAAACAGATATTTCCTTACCTAGCTGTCATCCTTTCCAAAGGAAAGTTCCTGGAAATACCAGGAGACCGAGGACTTAGTTCAGCAGATGCCATTCACTATCATTCCACACACACAGTGATTCAAGACAATATTTCCTCCACAATTTTTATTTTAAATTACAAAGGATGTTGCATACATTGATGAATTTGTATCTGAATAGAAGTGCTAGGGATCAAGGGTGACAGAGTAAACAAAGTCAATAGTTTAATTGTGCCTCTTTTCAAAAAAATAAAGCTGCACAACTATTAACCAACATTTAACATCGCAACTCTTAACAGATCATGCTTTGAACAAGGTAAATTTATTTTCTAACAGAGACAAGACTTTCAGTAAGTTTTTCTTAGCTCCAGTTGGAAGTTGATTATAGAATATCAAGGACAGCATTACAATCATGACCCCAAGCATAGGTGGAACAGGATGCCATGTTTTGTTTAAAATGCCTTTTTTTTTTTGCATCTGCATCTGCCATCAGCCTTAAGAGTTCACCCAACCACAAATACTGAGCAATAAATTTTCCTTGGATATATAATATTCTGGGAAGATATATTATTCCAATCACAATGTATGAGTAACCATCATTATAAGAGAGATTAAAATAGGTTTTCTTACTAGATTCTGTTTCCTAATCAGAGTATTTTGATAGGGTGGGATGTGCTTTTTCCAATACCAAATCCAATCCAGAAGTTTTCCTTACAGGAGCTAGTTAAGTCACCCAAATTTGACTTTAAAGGATACCCAACTACAAAACATTTTAAACTCCAGAAAAATTCTGAACAATTATGTCATCTAAAATGTTTGGAGTTTTATTTCTTTTTATGGGGGAAACAAAAACAATGGAAGCATGGTTTAAAAGAGCTCTGGTTCCACTTTTAACTCCACAGCTCGTTAGAAAGACAATAAATGCAGAGTCAGTATTTGCTCCCATGGAAGTTCATGGATGTCTGAGAGGCTGAGGATTATATTCACAGTGCAAAGACACCTTCTAGAAGCACTGAAGGGAAAACATGGCATATTGTGAAATGCAAGTTGTAGAAAGAGAGATTTTTGTTTGCTGCAAAGAAGATACAGCCTGAAAGTGCCATCTTTGATTAATGACATTGAAGAATCCCAATTTCCATTGGGAGATATTCAAGAGTGGTGTTTTCTCAACAGACTAATGCCCTTAATACAGTTACAAGAAGGATCAGTCACCGAGGCAGCAACTGTTTGAAATGTACTTCACACAATCCCTGGGGTAAACAAAATAAACCTCAGCTGTGTGCAAGGCTGTGTCAACAAGCCAAGACCACATCTAGCAGCACACTTCACTAGGTGATTCCAACTGAAGCCTCCAACTCCAAAAGAAAATCAAATCATGATTAGATGCACTCTTGAAACTCGGGTCTCAAGGCCAAACACAGATCCTGACATTCACGGTCCAGAACTGGGTTGTGCCTCAGCAGAATTTCAGGAAGACAAGCAAACACGTTTGAGGAACAGAACTGCATTTGCTATTTCTGCTGGAGGCAGCTTGGATACAAACCCTTGGAAATTCTCCTGATAAAACCTTTTAGAGATAAAAAAAAAAAAAAAAAAAAAAAAAAGCTATGTTTAAATGATTTATGGAAAAGAAAAGCACATCCAGTCATTATAGTTGTGAATAAGCTGTTTCATTAATGAAGGCAAATATTAGATAAATACTGGGGAGTGTCTTTTAAAAATAAATTTTAAACAGACACCTCTGTATTTCCAAAGGGTATTTTTGCTTTTAGGTTAGTTAAAAGACCCTTCATCCATTTTAGGTTGGTTTTTTGTTTGTTTTTTTTTTTTAAAAAGCCCCAACTTTTCCCTGGCCCTCTTAATATGGAAAAAAGTCAATCTATAAATTAGGAACTGAACACAGCTGAGCCTGACTCTCACATCAGCTTTACAGCAATGCAACTTTATTAAATCACAATTATTTCAATTGGTATGGTAAGAAAATCCAGCCCATCCACACATAAACATAGCTTTAGTAGTAAGTCTCTCTCATCCCAAAAACAAAAAGTACTCACCAAATATCAGTAAATGTGTTCAATAAACCATAAAAGGAAGCGTTAGCAAAAGGGGTTTTGGGTTTAAAAACACCCTTCAGGAGCACCCCCAGGTTTTGCAAGGCCATTCAAAAACTGGTCTTCCATAGAAATACAAAAGGACTACTGAGAGAAACTGAAATCAGCCCCAACCGCACTCGCTCCAGCACGCTTTCATCAGCTCTGATTCCATCTCAGAAGCTTTGACGAGTTCAGAGGGAATGAAAAACATTTAGTTCTAGATGTACAAGTAAGGCACAATATAAAGCCACATCATCATCTGTCATGAAGGGAGGGGGGAAGGACGAGGGTCATACATGGTACAGCAGAACAAGCAGCCCATCGATTCCAAGTGTGGCACCTACGTTCAGACTGACGAGATCTCGACAAGAGCAGTTATGACAGCATGCTTTTAATATGGAAACAAATCCTAGATAATCCAGTGTATCAGAAAAAGGAAGAGCTTCTGGTTGTATTAAATCAAAAAAATAGATCATTGTTTTTGGATATAGGATTAAAAGTGAATATTCACAATGCCTACACTCAAAAACAAACAAAAAAATAACCCCAGGACTTCGTTAAGATCCACATACTATGTATGAACACTGAAAATCTTTAGAAAATGGTTTTCTCTAAAGATCACCCCAAAACGCATGCCACAATTGCCAAAAAACAGAACATGTACATTTGTTGGTTTTTATACCCTTATAAGATTTTTGTTTGTGATAAGTATACACTAAATGTATATATTTTAATGACACTAGAGGAAGCAGATTGTTACTGGCATTAAAGTACAACCATTTCTAGACGGTTTAAATGCCACAGAGTCCCCTGGTTAAAATGTAAAGCTGCACAGCTTGCCTATGTCACCTTTATGATAAAGTTAAACCAGCAAAAGGTCTTATCTTTACTCTACATTTTACTGCCAGGTTTTATTTATCTCAAGTATCGCTGCAGCATTCTGACCAGCCCAGAGTTAGCAGCAAGTGGCAGGAATCATATAAAACGCAGTTTCTTTTTTTTTTTTCTTTTTCCTCTTTTTTTTTTTTAAACAAAGTGCTTTTCTAAGATGTACATACATATAAATAGTTACAAAATAAAGTGTCAACATTAAAAAGCTCAACTATTTCAAAGCTTTAACTTAAAATAATACATAGGAAACACTGAAATGCGAGGGTATGGAACTCACTAAAGATTCAAAGTCTACTTTGAAATGCGAGACCAAAATCATAGTCTGGTTTTCAGACAAAAATAAAAAGCTATAAAGTTGTGTGTTGCCCAGAATTCCCAGGCAGCAAAAAAAAACGGGGGGGGGGCTTTTAAATACTTTGTCAGTTGAATTTGTCCCAGAAGTTTTTACCTGATTCCAAACTGCTCTCTCTCAATGTTCAGAGAGGCTGGCTCGCCGGCAGGGTTTGGATGGAGCACAGGGACAAGCTCAGCGTGCCAGCCCTGGCCAGGCACAGCCTGAACCTCACAGGACACATTCTCTGTCGGGGTTTTTGGGGCTCTGGGCACCTCCACAAGAACAAGAGGAATACACCAGAGCCACCGTGGAAAGCAGCAGCCAACTCTTCACCTCACCCGAACAACAACGACGACAACACAAATGCCTCGGAGGAAAACACCCACATTCCACTCAGATTTTGCAAGCCTTAAGTGGATTTACAAAGTTTTGCCTAAATTGCCCTGGGTATTTGTTCAGTCTCTTGTAGGAAAGACTTTCTGTACAGCTCAGTAGTGGTATTTTGGCCTCCTCCTCCCTTTTGAGTCTTCCAAAATATTTAGAACAAAGGAAGCTGTGAGTGGGGCAGGGCCATCACTTTCACTGCACTGTTACCAATTCAGGCTTTTTTCTCTTATAGCACGAGCTTGGATATAAAAATAATCTACTTATAAACAAAAAGGAATCACAGTACAAACAAACTTAGACAAACTAGAAACAAACTGGAGAAATTCCCCAAAGGGAGTGGGGAGAAAGCCTTCATGGACTTTTGCATTTTTTTTTTTTTCAGCAGCTACATTTGAAAATATTTGGTATTTCTATTTTCAGTAAACAGTGTTTTGTCATCTTTAAATAGGGAGAGAAAGAACAGGGAGGAAAAGGAGGGGGGGTCCATGAAACCAGAGAATGATCTTGCCTTGAGATAAAGGACTTTCTCATCAAAGGCTAAAGCTTTTAATCTGTACATTAACACTGACTACAAAGCCAACTCTTATTAGCAGAAGAGCAAATAAGAACTTTGTGTTAATATTCCTCAATCATAGAAACTACTGAATTAACAAGAATAAGTCACATATAAGTCTGAAGAAGCTAGTTTCGAAATACCTGTACAAAAATATAAAAGTCTATAAATTTTTTTTTGTTTTGTTTTGTTTGAAGCCTGTGTTGATCCTTGGAAACATCACATGCATAATAATACATCAACTGGAAAAGTGGCAACTAAGGAATTAGATATTTGTAGCTCTTTTTTTTTTTCTCTTTACATATATACACGTTACAATAAAAATAATTTTATTTTGGTTGTTTGGTGGAAGTATACTACAACAAGCTAAATACTTTTTTTTTTTAAATTCTCAAAGTCGAAAACTATTTTACCAATAGCTTACTAAAATCCAAATATATTAAAATCTCCTACAGTAAGTGCAGAGAAAAAAGATTTAAAGACTCCAAGACGGCCACCAACTTATCTACCATGGAAGCGAACTACAAGAACAGCAAAATAATATTGTTATGTATGAATGCTCCTTCTGTAGATAATTGGACCCAAACAAAAAAATTCACAGTTCAGTAAGATCCCTAACCCTGACCTTTAATTTTTTTTCTTTTTTTCTTTTGTTTTTACATTCAGTACAGTATCATATAAGCTGTGCAAAACTTTACTTAGACTGGCAGTTCGCCATATCAGTTGCATTTGTCTTTGGTACAAAAATAAACAATCGCATTAATGTGCAAGTATTTGTTTTCTTCCGGCCAAAGTACCGAAATTGAGTTTTCTAGAGCCATCTTTTATACAATACATAGACTCTGTGGCATATATCTACATTTTCAACATATTCCTATATACATTCAAAAAATTTTAAGAGCTGGAACAAATACATTAAAACCTAAAATCTCACCATCTATACAGCTCGGTTTTGCCCCTCAGGGTTTTCTTCATACAAAACTTTACCAGCTTATACTGATAGCTCTCCCCACAAAATACAAGGCACAAAGAATATACTTTTTTTTTCTCTTGCTTGCACAGACATTTAAATACTCTATTAAGCTCAGAAAATTAAAGTCTTATATGGCACACTAGCTCTAATGCTGCGTGTGCTATGTACAAGTTAATGGTTGCAAAGAAAGCTTACTGTTTTTTTTTAAGAACAAGAAAAGAAAATCCAAATATTTAAAAATAATAATAATAAAAATAAAACAAAACAGAAAAACTCCCTACATTGATAGCTTCACCAAAAAAAATGCTTCCTCTTACTTCACTTGGACCATAAACCTGTCACAATGTCTGGCAAATGCTGAGTATTTTCACTAGCAAACCCATGTTTTTGCTTCTCAAACAAAAGTGATATATTCTGGTCCTAGATCATTTGAAAGAGAACTCTCATTTCTGCCCTTGAGCTTTAAAGCAGCTTTGAAACTATCTGGCTTATGGTCCAAAAATGCTCTGCAGCATTTTCTACCACGCTGTGATTTGTTTTCCTACAGAGTTACTTGAAACCAATGGAACCTACAGGTGAGTGTTTACAGAATGCTAAGCTGACATGCAGACCAGAATGCCATTTACAACGAGGAACTCGACAGCGCGGGCGGAACCTGACCCGGGAGCAGCTCCAGTCCTGCCCTAAACCTTGGCCGTGGGTATCCGGAGCCCCACGAGGCCGCCTGTGGGGTCTCCCTCTGCTGTCTTCTCCAGGACCTGGTTCACAAACTCCGACGTCTGTCCAGCTACAGGAAGTCCTGAAAGGGAGGGAAGAGAAGCTGCTCTCAGGTCACTGCTCACAGCACATTCCTGAGTGACACAAAGCCAGGGGACACTTTGGCTGGGACAGCTGGAATCAGGAAAGGGTTCATTCTCATTCTTTCCTCTTGAAGGTAGTGAGATCAGAGGGATGCTGGGAGGAAAGGCTGGGAGAATTGGGATTGTTCAGCCTGGAGAGGAGAAGCTTTGGGGTGACCTCACTGTGCCCTTCCAGTGCCTGCGTAAGGCAACAAGATGGAGAGAGATTTTTTACAAGGGCCTGGAGTGACAGGACAAGGGAGAATGGTTTCACACTGCCAGAGGGCAGGGTTAGATGGGATACTGGGAAGGAATTGTTCCCTGTCAGGGTGGGCAGGCCCTGGCACAGGGTGCCCAGAGAAGCTGTGGCTGCCCCTGGATCCTGGAAGTGTTCCAAGCCAAGTGGAGCAGGGCTTGGAGCAGCCTGGGACAGTGGAAGGTGTCCCTGGTGGAATGAGATGAGCTCTGGGTTCCTCCCAACTCAGGGCATTTATGATTCTACATTTTCATACCGAGGTAAATACATGAAGTTCACTGCTTACCAAGAGTGTCTTTAATAAGTATGTTCAACTTTTGCTCCATGTTGGTTCCTCTGTCATCTTTAGGTACCTGCACCCGATTTACTATTTCTTGTTTAATGGAGTTGATGACAAAGAGTAAATTATCTGCAAAGAAAAAAATAAAGGATTAGCTTTACATCACATTCCCCTGGAAGGGATTCACAGTTATCCACACAACTATCTGTGTCAAAAGTGTCACATCACACTTATTGTAAAATGAAATATAATAGTTTACATCAAATATTACCAACATTTTCATTAATATTTACATGCACACATTTACATAATTTACATCTGCAAAGAAGATAACCCAGTTTACATTCACTTTATTCAATGGGCTGGTTTTGTACCAACAGAATTGCTGGGTTTGTACCAACTCTTTTCTCTAAACGCCAGGTTACATCATGGTGCAAAACAAAGACTTGCCCAAACAAAACAAAAATTAAGATGTGAAGAGTTGTATTTACCATATTCCGTGTTGAGACCCCAGAGTTTTACTTTATTGGCTTCATACTGGGCTTTCTTTTTTAGTCTACAAGCCCTATGGCAAGAAGAGGGGAAGAATTAGAACACTACCAGAAATGCCAGAGTAGTAAGAGCCACATGAACCCATCAACCAATCCTCCCAGAGCTGTGATGCACAAACTCCTCCATCCTCACCTTCACTGAAAACACTCTGCTACCTGCATTTGCTCTCATTTGACACTTGTAGAATTTGCCACTGTCCCAGCTGTTTGCCCCACAGCTAAGGAAGCCAATTCCAGTGGGAACCTTATCTAGGAAACAGGCAAACCACAGCTCCCAAGGTGCCAGCTGCCCAGCTTTTTTGATAAATTGGTAATTTACATTTGATGAACTACAACTCCCATTGCAGGAGCTGCCACATGAAGCAGAACTTCTTTAGGCAAAAGTTATTTACATCTTTATCATTCAGTTGTAGCAATCCCTGCAGCTTTGCCCAATGCATACCTGGAAGCCAACTTGTTCTTTTCTTTCCTCGACCTGGGTCTGGCAGTTAAGGGGAGTTCACTGACGGGTGTCAGGTCACTGATCACCTTATTCAGCTTCCTCAGCTCGTTACCAATCTGCAGGAGTTTTCTGGGGTTGGGAGTCAGATCTTCTACATCAGTCCTCCGTGACTTCTTTGCTGCGTATTTTCCTGTTTCAAATATACAGAAAAATGGGTAGGGCAGCAACACAATATGTACACAAACCTGTGAGAAAACACTCTAAAATAGGCATTTTTTGGGTGCAGTTGAAGTTCCTTTGTTCATTGCAGGAGAATGGGCCGGAATCAGGTGATCCCTGTGGCCTCTCACAATAGAAAGAGCATTTCCATACAAAGAGCTTTGTACAATTCATATTCTATCCAGATCAGATAAGAGCAAATACTGCTGGCCAGGCCACTGGATGTGACAGAGAGCATACACACAACTCTGCTGAAAAATGTATGTCACAAGTTCAAACCCTGTTGTTTTGTTCCGGCTGTAAACTTGTTTACTCGTATTCAGCCAAAATATCCTCCTGCACATTCAAGTGGATTAAATCCCTAAATAATCTTATTGCTAAAGTTCTGGACAGAGAAAGAGTGCTGAGGCCTGGTGCTGAAACAGTCTTCATTGATGCTGAGATGAAATGATCCACATAAAGGCCAGTTAACCCATTTTATTATGTGTATTTGAAGCTCTTTAAGGCCTGGTTTTGCATTTGACTTAAAGGTCAAGTGTCCAAATGTCTGGTGGGTTTGAGTCCTCAGAGCATGTTTGGTTATTTGGTGTTGGATAACAAATATAAAATAATGGAATCACAGAATGGTTTGGATTGGAAGGAATCTTAAATCCATCTTTTTCTCCGCCTTGCCATGGGCAAGGACACCTTCCACTAAACCAGGTTGCTCAGGGGTCCATCATGAGAAAGAGCAATGATTGGGACTTTAGGTACTGGTATTTCCCTACAGGATAAAGAAGCTTTTAAAAACTAAGGAGATTTAAAGAAAAAAATGCTTTCTTCCCTGAATAAATCTACAGGTAAGAACAACAACAACAAAATCTTTTGATTTAAGAGAAGGCCAATTGCCTTTTTAAAAGCAGTAGTTTTCAACTCTAAGGGAACATTGACCTTACAACCAGGGAAGTTAGTTTAATTTGCTCCTTCAAAGCCAAAATCAAATGGAACAGCCTAAAAGAAGTCCTGTAACAAGAAAACAAAAATACCCCTAAGAGTGGTTTGTTTTGGGTGATGTTAATCATGTTTGTGGTGCAGTAACTGCTCACTGGGAATAAATCACAGCTATTAGAGCAACTGGTTTAAGTTTCTGAGAGGGCATCTTAAGGAAATAGTTTATTCCCAGAGGAGTAAGTGCTTCACTGTGCCGCATTCACAGGGGGAAAATGAGGAGGGAGGAGCAGAGAGACACTTGTGCCTTAGTGCTTGTCCTCAGTTCATACCACAGTGCCCTGAACTTGGCACCCAGAGCCCTCCCAGCCTTCTGCTAACACAGGCAGCACTGACAGCAACAGCCACGAGCAGCAAACATCAGTCAAACCACCCATCCAATATTTACAGTATCGCACTGAGAAAGCTTTGAACTCCCGGGGTTTCCACTGAGAGCCCTTGGAAGTCACAATTCTCAATTCATCCCCGCTCCTCTGGAAGAAACCACAGTGAAAGTCCCTACTGTGTGTTCTCTGTGCCTCCCCTGGGCACTGCAGAGCCCTGCTAACTGAGTAACAGATTTACAGCACTTGAATTTTCATGGCCAAAACACAACTTCTCAGCACTTGCAAGGAGGGGAGTTTGGCTGCTGAAGGTGTCACAAGGAGAAGACAGTTATTTGTGGCCAGGATGAGGATTTCTTACCATGATGGAGCCCATTCTTCTGGTACATGTTGCTGGGCAGGGTGTCCCGGTTCCACTCGGATGGCCTCAGCATCCTCTCCTGCTGGGACGGCGTCAGCTGCTCGCTGTACTCCCAGAAGTATCTTCGCTTGCCTCTTTTCCGAGAGGATATCGCAGTCATTTCTTTTAAATCCTCCACAGAATCGTTTTCATACCCTAAAAGGATGCAGGGGGTTGTTTATATGCCGGTGACAGAACTGTTTGTAGCCCTTTAGCAGCGGACTGAGGATTCAAGTTAAGAGCAGAACTACAGATCTGTTTTGCATTATCTAACAGACTTGGTTTGCAGCATCAAGTGCTCCTGGGTACTTGCCTTAAATCCAGGGATAGACACTGAGCCACTGATGGGGCTTCATTAGTTAAAAAAACCAAAATTATTTATGCATTTAAAGTCCCTTTGTGTTCTCTGACCCCCTAAGCTGTAGTCCCCCACAATCCCAGCAGTGCCAAGTACACACAGCAGATGTTGGACCGTGTTCTCCCATCCAGACAATTTTCTCCACGAATTAGCAGGAACACAATCCTAACTCACCTCCACATTTGACAAAAAGCATAGAAAGAGAAGCAGATAATAAAGATGGATTAGCAAAAGACAATAAAGAAAAAATGATTCAATTATAGAACACTTTGAGTTGGAAGAGACCCACAGGATCGAGTCCAACTCCTGCTGCTCCTTGAGTCCAAAGACCTGCAGGGAATAAATCCAAGCACTGATCCCTCCTAGGCTGGAGAAAGGGGCTCTGCTATCAGGACAGTGACCAAAGGACCATCTAAGCTGAAGGGATCTGGAGACACTGTTCATCCTCTTCCTCCTCTTTAGTGGGAGAAGAAATGATCCTCAGTAAAGCTGTATAATATTTTAGAGGTTAATTATGATGCACTTGGTATCACAAACTGCTCATTAAGGACATGGAAATTGTAATGCCACTGTCCACATCACAGAAATATTTACCATAACTGTAAACACAAACCACAGGTTCTCAAACCCCAGATATGCTTCAGAAAAATAAAGATAAGCTATCCTAAGGTTAAAAAAAAATAAATCTTAAACCACTGCATAGCCTTTTGTGCTAAAATGCTAAATAATAGTTTACATTTACTTTAGAAAGTGATCTCTAAACATCACATACTCTTACGGAGCTAAAGGAAAAGCCACCCATGCATAGACTGCAGAATTAGCAAGCCTTGACCCCATATGCTTCAGCTCTGCTTCATCTTCCACCAGCACAAAGAACACTTTCTTCTTTTTAAAACAGTCCATTCAATTAGTCTGTTTGCACTTGAAAAAAACAGTTGAAAGAGGAAAAACAAACTTTCTTGCTTTGGTCTGACTCTCATGTCATAACCCAAAGCACAAATAGAAGTCAGGTATGCAGATGGATGAAATCCATCCTGAAATTCTGTTTCTCATCATTTCATCAACTCAGATACTTGGATTCTCTGGTTTATTGGAAAGGCAGGATTTTAAAGGCAAACCAAACAATGAAACATGCTTTACACATTTGTGTAAAAAAAAAATTTGTGTTGTATAGCCAAAATTATCGACAATTTACATTAAATACAGCTTCAAATACCATAAATATTTGTAACTGCAGCTCCATTTTACTCAAATGCTGTTTAACATAAGTATCAAAATGCACTCAAAAAGCCCACTGACTTTCCACCTGAAAAAAAAGCTTTATAACTCATACAGAAATATATAAATTGAGCCCATCTTCATGATAACACAGAATTAATCCAACCAATGAAAACAAATCTCTGTAAGAGCTGAAGCATACAAATGTACAAGGTTCAAATCAGAACTTCCTGTTTGCTTATTCAAACTGTAATTATGTTAGCAACTTCAATTACACTGACTTAATACATCCTGCCTTGCAAGCCCAACACTGACCTGCTACCATTATAAAGTTACATAAAAGAATCCAGTGCAATGTTCTAACCTAACACACAAACTTGTTTAGCTGCTCTGCACCGTATTTATTCCTCCTCTTAGCAAAGATCACACAGCAGGGCAGGCTTCTAAGAAATCTGAAAGGGTTCTTGTATTCAACCCTGAAGCCCTTCACAATTCCCTCCTAAAAGTCTTTCTTCGCATCCCTCCCCGTGGTTTCGGGTTTAAATTCACCAGGGTTAAATGAAGCAGAACAGAGAACAGTGTCCATGTGATTTCTGCCTCTCACCAGGTGAAACCCAAAAATAGCCCCACTGAAACAAACCCAGAGATCTCCTCCTCCTCACCACTTCACCACAGAGGCTTCTGAGAAATCATTTCCAGTGTTTTTCCCCCAGCTGACAGTCCAGGTGCTCACACTGATCTAATGCAGCTTCTTAAAACAATCTCTGCGTCTCTATGAGCACTTTTTCACCAGTGCTACCGACAATTGAATAAATTGCTGCATTTCCCATTTCTGGAATCTCCTGACTACTTGATGGCAGGAACAGTAATTTAAAAATCTTTCTACTAAATGAGATAGGAAAAATAGTAATAGCAAAACCATCACATTTAAATGCTAGAAAAGGCCTGGGCTGGTAATTCCCATAATAAGCTACCTTTGCAGGGGACCAAAGTTGCTAAATCTGTGTCATGGTGATAATAAAAACACTGTTGTCCAAACTTGCCTGGGAGCCAGTCACATTTTTAGCTATTTCTCCTTCACTATATCTACATATTTCCTCAGATAACACTTGAAGAAAGCATTTCATTCACTCTAAAAAGCATACATGAAGAATAACCAAAAGCAAATCATGTATTAAAAAAAAAAAAAAGCTTTAGAGGGCCATCAAAAATTAGTAGATTTTTGGCCTTTCAGTAAATTACATCCTCAGTCAAAATACCAACTGAATTTGCTTTCAGAGCTGTGGAAGGTTTCATTTTCCTGTGCTCTGCCTATTTTTAGATAGTTTACCCACAGTGTTTACCTTTAGAGGGTAAAAGCAACACCAAGTACAAGAGTGACATAATTATAATACCTGGAGATGTTATTTTCTACAATAGACAAAATATATGATAAAATTTTTAATATCACCACATGGTTTTAGGCTTCATTCACGGAAGGGCTTGGCAAGCTTGGATAAGCCCAGATCCTCAGCTACTGCTGCAGAATGAGGATTGTTGGTCAGTAAAATAGTTAATTAAATTAATTAATTCCACCCACAGCATTTAACACAACTTTTTTCATGGATCCCAGGTTCCCAGCGCAACACAACCCCCACGGGCTGCAGAGCTGCAACAGCTGCTCAGGGCCCCAGAAAGCAGAGGGAGTTCTCTCCAGAAGGGAGGAAGAGGCTTCAAAATGTTAATAAAAATGTGTTGTGTGCATGTGAAAGTAGCATAAAGGGCAGAATGCTTAACGAGTTTAATGCCAACACAGGAAATCTAATTAGAAAATAATTTCATCCGAGAGTTCATTATGACAAACACTGACAAGCTTTAGGGAAGCTGCTGTTCTCAACAAGGAGAAATTTCAGCTGCTTTATCCCCTCAAAATTATATATTGCCAAATGTCTGAATACTTTAATTCTTATACTCTGCTACAGGACATTTATAGGATGTGAGTATCATAATACATTCTGAAATGAAATTAACACTTGGTTACAATCCTGTGGCTTTGTGTGCAGATTTTATTTTTATATAATGCCACTGTTTTGTTACCTTGTAGCTGAAGGTTAGTTCTTATTCCTGCTGTTAGAACTCCATTTCTACAGGCAGGAGAGAGAGGAATTCAGTATCCTCAATTCAGCAGCCACTAAGTGTTACTGCTGAAAACCACCTAGAAATGATTCTATTAATTTCAGTCATTCTTTGGATTCTGTGGAAAAACTGTAGCTGAAAGTAGGACTTAAGTTTATGAAATCATTTCACTCACATCCTGACAGATCCAATTCTGGATAAATTCACAGCTATAAGAAGTGCTAGAAAGGTCTGCATATCCTACCAGAGAGCTACAAAAAGGAAGGCCAAACTTGCAGGTAGCTGCTCTAACCTCAGGCTACAGGTGGGCTTCCTGTATTCTCTATTATAATTTTTGTTGCACAATCACAGTTTATGTAGCTTTCAATGAAATAGGGCAACAGAGACCTTGCATACTTTGAATTAACTGCATTTTGCAAAGCACTTAGAAAATGTGGGAGGAGAGCTCACAACTTAAGATCAGTGCTGCTCTTCAGTAACTACCAGGAGTTCAAAAGCTTGATGGACAAATCCATCAACCTTCACGTTACCAAAACCCAACAATGCTGGTACCTGGTTCTGAGAAGGTATCGCTGATGTCATCGTCCTTATCGTCCTCGTAATCTTCTTCCTCATCATCGTTTTCAGACAGCTCGTGCTCACTGCCAAATCCTTCATCATGGTCCTCATCTTCAATATCATCCTCATCCTCCTCCTCTTCCTCGGGGTCTGCTTTGGCTGACTGTTCACCCAAAGTGTCTGTTACAAAAAGAGAGTAATTGTGCTCTTCCTTCTTCTGCGAGGAGTCCGACACGGACGTGCTGGCGGAAAGGCTGCTCTCCCCCGCTACCAGCCCTGGGCTCTCCTGGGGAGGGCTGAGGAGCAGCTCTTGAGTCTCTTTAAAAGGCAAACCAGGAGTTGTACTGTGACCATGGGGGGACTCGAGTCCTTTTCTCTCTTGTCTCTTTGCTACAGCCCCACAGTAGCAGGTGTTTTCCTTGGCTGCGTCAGCGTGCGCCTGGCTCAGCACGGGCCTGCTCTGCGGCAAGGGGTTGATCTTTACTTTTGCTTTTTTAACATAGTCTTTACATTCAACGTGAATGTTCACCTTTTCACTGCTGTACACGTTGGTCTTGGCCATGATCTGTGTGCTGGAAGCAGGCTGGCTGCCAGGCTTGCTGGCCTTCTGGGCACAGTCCGACAGTGCGGCCTCGGCCTGCACGTTCTTGGAGGAACAGACCGGCGCCGCGGCTCTGCTCGCGATTTTTTTGCCAGGTAATAAAGAATTTAAAGGGTTTTGTTTTACACTAAAGAGCAAATCAGGGTAATAGAGTGAATCTGAGACAGGCTGGGAGTCCTCACTGTTCAGCTGAGCCAATGTGGGTGTTTTGCTGATCACCTCTTCGTCCTGGTATGGGCTTGAGAAGTCATCAAGGCCCAGGTAATCCACCTCTTTTGTTCCCCAGATGTCACAGCTGGTTAATTTAGTGTACTTAGTTAGGTCTTCACAGTAGGTATCCCACTGCTCCCACTTGGAAGTGAAAGCAGCTTCTTTGTCCAGGATGTCCGTAAAAGACTCCAAGTTCTCAAGGTCTTTGCAGTCCTCCATCAAAAGCAAGTTATCCCTGGAGCTTTGCTGATAGTCCATTTCTCTGTCCTGTGAACAATAAGGTAAGTTAAAAGTTAATACCAAAAAGTATCCATCATCTCTTTCCTCTACTTAATCTGGTAAGGAGAGCACAATTCCAGTGAAATATGAGCATGGTGACATAGGAAGAGACCTCAACTTTCAACCAAAAGCTTCTTTTGAAGGTCAGAATGAAGTTCAGCTCCTGTGCTTCAGCAACAGATCTTTCTGAATACACTGTTCTTCCTATAACACTGACTTTTCCTACTATTGCAAATCCATCTGCTCATTGGGAATTAAACCAGTGCCAATACCCATGTATTTAAAATATGAAAGACATCACAGCATCTCTATAAGCTAAGGTCAATCTTTGCTATGTGCTTAACAGAATATGCTCGAGTTTACCAGTTCCTGGAAATCCTCATTCTAACACAACCAATTAATGACCACGAGTGACCTTTCCCCTTTGATACAGGGAGAAAATCAAAAAGGGAATGCTCATAAAAGTAGTCAACTTTTATATTCCTTCCCCTGCATTCACAGCTTGGGTGAAGCAGAACATAGCAGGAGGAAATCCTTCCCTGTGAGGATGGTGAGGCCCTGGCACAGGTGCCCAGAGAAGCTGTGGCTGCCCCTGGATCCCTGGAAATGTCCAAGGTCAGGCTGGACAGGGCTTGGAGCAGCCTGGGATAGTGGAAGGTGGATCTGAGCCTGTCCCAATGGCCAGTTTGAAGAAGTGCCTGCTGAAGAAGCACCACATTTGCTGGACAAGCAGTCCAGCCCTTCCCTAATCAGCAGCCAGCAATAATGAATAATTTTCCAGCATTCTTGAACCAACACCCTTTGATTCCTACAGGAACTGGTGTCAGTCAAGGAGATGAAATTCCGGGCACACAAAGGTGACCTACCAGTTCATACATGAAGTCTGGATCTGAGCTGCTCGCCAGGAGATCTGTGCTCATCAGAGTCTGCTCTGAAAACAGGTGGCTCCGAAAGGCATCCCCAAAAGGAGGGTCCATTCCACTCACACTGGGCTACAGCACAACGGACAGACATTTCAAACATGATATAAAAAGGCACATATTCATCTTCAACCAACAGAAAGAGGACAACCATTTCCTCCTAGTCTCCGAAGGTTTTTACCACCACAGATAAGCACATCGTTCCCCAGAGCCAGAGAATGCTTCAAGAGCAGCTGACAACATGCAGGAGCAATCAAAGGACAAATTTTTATCCACCACAGAGCTGCAAGAGCATTCACTGCTCCCTCATTCTTCCCTGTTGGTTTCAAAGTCTTATGTCTGCCAAGTTTTGGGATATGCTGGCATTTGTAGAGGATGAGGGCCAGTCCTGGCAAGATCTGGGAGTCCCTCTAATACAAATTATTTTGTACTAAAGCAGTGTTGACTGTGTTTAGAGCCATTAGAACTCATAAAACTTCCACATGAAATTGTAAGGAAAGCAAAATTTATGACAACTAAATCAAGATTGTTTCCTCTTTCTCAAGAACGAAGTGAAATTTGGCAAAAAAAGCATTATGCAGGATGACTGAGCATGCAGGGAATGGGCAGCAAGGCCTTCTGCTACATTTAATTCCAGACCTCAATTTCTCTTCTAGACACTCTCACCCTGAGGGTTGGGAAGGGAGAAACACTGTGCTGCTGAAAGTCATTCAGTGTGCTGAGTGTGAATCACTGCAGTAATAAAAGGCTGTTCTGCTCTCCAGGCATCCTCCCTCACCAAGCAACAACGTGGCTGAAGCTTGAACAAACACAGCACCAAGAGCAGCACCACAGCTTCCACCACAGACACTACAGGGACCTTACAAAATATACATCCTTTAATCTTTTACACATCTTCCTTCCTAGTGCTGGTCAAATTTGTTCTTAAGCAGAGGCAGAATTATTTACAGAAGTGAATAAAATCCTAGCAGACTTACCTGAGGCATTTCCAAGCCCAGATTCCCCAAATCCAATTCCAAACTTCTTGTTTTATTCACTTGTCGATTCCTTTCCAGCTTTACTTCAGTCTCAGGGTGTTTATACTATCCATGCAATGAAATTTTTCCTTAGGATAACTTCAGTTCACCCTGATGGAGCTTTTCTATTTGTCAGCTTCTGTGCAGAATAAACACAGCAAACCCCCAAGGAGGTGAGTAATCCTTCACCAACAAGGTGAAAGCTTAAAAAACAGCCAAAGGCAAGAATTTCCCCTGAAAACTGATTTTTCCTCATGCTGGAATGTATAGAAATTTTCTTCCCCTGCCATTTTTTATTGAATGAAAAGCCACAGATACTACAGAACAGAATTGCTGCAAAACCATTTCTGGTCAAGTTACATTTTCCTGCCTTTTTTCCTCTCTGCTGAGACCAGCAGCTCTACAGACACACCTGAAGTGAAAACCCTGCCAAATTGGGAACAATAATCAGCACACTGCTGGGTATCCAGGAGAGAGACAACCTTTATGACTAATGTAACAGAGCCAATAAACTCTAAAAACGTCTCAGGCAAAAGTCTCAAAATATAAATTTCAGAAGAAGCAGAAATGCTGTTTCAGTGGTATCTCCTCCTTTTCTTCAGGGATGAATCCATCCAGCATCAGATAAGATTACATCAATCACTCACACAGCAACATCTAGTGGTAGAGGATCACAGAAACCATCCAGCAGCAGAGTGGAAGAGACAGATTTCCTCAAGAGAACAAATTAAAAACTGCCAAATTCACAGCTGTCTAATAAAATATCTTCTCTATTAATTCAAGTAAGGCCTATGTTGAAATTGGACCAATTTATCTACTGGTAGTTTTACAGTTTAGAAGTTTCTACAGACCTGCTCTACTTCAGATGTTTGTCTAATGACTCTTCTGAGTTTAATCCAGAATTCTGAACGGCGTAAGGAAAACCCTCACTCAGCACTGCTCCCAAGTCAGACTCTGGTGCAATCTGCTCAGGCTGCGTTTATTCTCCTCTTTTGAAAAACAAATAGTAAACTCTAAGTGTTCTCCCACAGCTCAGAACCCTCCCCCAGCAGCACATGACAGCATCCCCATGATTATTCCCACTTTCAGATGGTATCTCAGTTAGTTTGTCCTCTTTAGCATATGGACCATTAGACTGTGGTAAAAACAGTCACTATGCAAAGAAGTCTTTATTTATCAAAACAGCCTGCTTTGCAAAGAGCAGCTGGAATATAAAGAACAACAGTTACAGGTCCAGTTACACAGAGTTCTCAGCTGAACCCTCGCTAGCCCTGCCAGAGCGGCCGTTTCTCACGGGGCCCTGTGGTGAACGAGCCAGCTCCTTGTGAGAAAAGCTCCTTTCTGCTCCAAAACCTCCAGGGAACCCTTTACTTATTTAAAAGCGACATTTAAAGTTTGTGCCACAGCAAGCCCCATCTGCCTTCACTCAGCAAAGGCCACACCACAGCAGGACTGGTCCTTCCCAGGTGGGGACGTGGCAGGGATGACTGAGTCACTTCTCAGCCTCACCTGGGCTAGGAGAAAGGGCCTGCTCTTTAAAACAAACACAGGATCTTCTCAGACACAAAAAGAGAAGCAAGGTTATGATCCTAAACACCTCAACACTTTCTTTCCATTGCAGATTGATGCATTTTTCACCAGCACATCAGATTAATGCTTTGACATCACCATGAGACCACCTCCTGCATTCACAAGGAGACAGACAGAGTTCTCCATGATACAAAGGGGAAAGAAAGGAAACACTTGCTGCTTCTTTGCTGTGTTTTTTGTTAGAACATGGGCCTCAAGCTGTTCCACACACAGCCAGCAAAGGGGGATGAAACTTCATCTCTACTGACACTGATTTCAGTAACAACCAACACTTCCAAGTGCCAGCTTCTGGATCACTTCCAAATCCTCAAAACAAATATTAAAGGCTGAAAACACTTTTACCATCTCTAAGACTGGAGTGATAAACTTCTTGCACTATTTAAGAATGCCAGTGCATGTCCTCTCAGGTCAAAGCAGTGTATCAGCTAACCCAATTATTCCAGTAATTCTCTTTATGTTTAGTTCTTGACATTTTATAATATTTATATTAATATTTTAATTTAATCCCAGTAGAATTTAGTGAACTATTCCACAGTGTAGGATTTTTCTTAGTAGCTCTGTGGAAGGGGAAAACACAGTGAGGCCATGAAAAGAAAGACATTGCCTCAGGGAGCTGCACAGCCCAGATATCCTTCATGCTCCCAACAAAGCAGCCCTACTTCCAACTGCTTTCCAAATTTCCCAGAAAGATCAAGGTCATCATTAAAAGCCTCCTGCTGTTTATACTTAACTGACAGTGTAAATAAAGATGTATGGCACAAGTCAATGACACGTATGGAAGCACAGGTGTAAAATCAGAACTTGCTGTGAAGGAAAGTAATTTGCAGACTGCAGTTAAAGTCCCATTTCTACAGAATTTATCATTACTGGCACTTTCAGCCCAAGACTGAGTTAGAAAAGAATAATCCAGCTGTTGTGTTATCTATAATGAATGCAGCTCTGAACGAACTAAAAGAGCTGTGGCAGAGCTCAAGTACAGCAGCACTAAGAATTACTGAAGATAAATATAGCTGGAATTTCTACTTCGGGACAATTTCCATTAATGCCTTCCATCAGCCCTTCCCAAGTGCAGAGACACAGGTGGAATACAGAGCCCGAAGCAGCAGGCAGGCTCCTGTGGCAACAGCCTGCAGGGAAATCAGATTAAGGTGATTAAGGAGCCAGGCCTGGAGCTGGTTCTGTGTCTGCAGGTCTGGAGTCACATCAGCGCCCAGCTCTGCTCCTGGGAGGAGGCTCCTGCCTTCACTGGGGCCTGGGGACACCTGAGGGGAGCCTCCAACACATGGAGAGGGACTCTGCAAGGGATAGAGTGACAGGACAAGGGGAACGGCTTCACACTGACCCAGAGCAGGGTTAGATGGGATATTGGGAAGGAATTCCTCCTTGTGAGGGTGGGCAGGCCCTGGCACAGGGTGCCCACAGAAACTGTGGCTGTCCCATCCCTAGAAGTGCTCCAGACCAGGATGGATGGGGCTTGGAGCAATCTGGATAGTGGAAGGTGTCCCTGCCATGGCAGGGCATTAAAATGAAATGATCTTTAAGGTCCTGTCAAGCCCAAACCACTCAATGATTCTGTGATCTCGGGAGCAGCTAAATGTCCATCTAACATTTAAGAATTTGGGCTACTGATGGAGGCATGCACATGTACATTAGTTAAAATCCCATCAGTCATCAACAAGGAACCTGTTCTGTGGAGTTAACACCTAATTAATCTAATGACAAATCCTAACTAAAAATCATCCCCTGTATTTAATATTTACTTTCTGAAGAGGAACAGTGTTTCCAAGATGCCAAGGAAGACTGAATTTCACACAGGGGAGCAGCAGCTGCATTACCTGGGATTATTGGTCTAACCTAGCCCACAGCAGGAGCTAAACTCCAAATATGCAGCATTTAGGACACACAATGCAGCTCCTGTGCATGTGCTGCCTCTTGGGCCACTAAAACACCCTCCTGCCACAACACATCACCTCAAAAGAAGCCCCTGGAAGAGAAAACCCAAAAATTCAGATTTTAGCTTAGCAGCTCTGAAAGTCTTTCTCGGTCACCTGCATGAATCATTTGTACCGTGGCTACAAGGAAAGTTGCTATTTCTAGCCCAGTTCAGCTGTGTATTTTGTACCACTGGAAAGGCACATGGAGCGTGGCTGTGCTTTTTTGTTGGCTGCACAGTGCTTATTATCCCAGCAGCTAAATGCCTGCTGTAAGTGCATTACAGGAACAATTACACTTTCATGATGGTGACTGCATCACACAGCACAGCTTGTCAAAGTCACAATTTTGATGCAGGTATAAAAAAATAGCTCACGAGAGGCTGCCAGTACTAAACCTAAAAGCTCAGACTGAAACATTCATGGCCAACTCTGAATTTCAGAGAAAGCACAAAAACTATGCCATGTGCTTGGAAAGAACCATTATGTACCATGCACTGTTTGCTGGACATTTCATGAAATATTGGAGTTAGAGATGCAAGAAGTTCTCCTGCACGTCTCTTAAAAATATTTTTTCCTTCCACAGTTTGTGCCAACTTGTTTTCTGGTACACAACACCCTCTGCTCAGGGCAGTCTTCAAGCTGAGAACATGCAGACTGCCCGGGGTGGAGTCCATCCCTGGAGGTGTCCAGGGAACATCTGGACATGGCACTCCGGGCTCTGGTCTGGTTCAGAAGGTGGGAATCACTCACAGATTGGACTCAATGGCTTTGGAGGATTTTCCAGCCTCAATGAATGTGTATGTTTCTTACTTTTGTTTCTGAATAATGTTCCTTTATTTCTTTCTACATGATTCTTCAATGATTATCCAGACTTCAAAAAGTTCTTTTGCTTTTCTCTCCTGCCACAAAGACACTAAGTTTATTAGTACTATTATTATTATTTCATAGCAGTGAACAAAGACACTCTTTTAAGAGTTTCTCTTTTTTAAAAGAGAAATCTTCCTGTATTTCCATCCACTGCAGTCTCATTCCTGGACTCACAAAAGCAGCCAAGTCCCTCTACCTTGTTGGTGAAGGAGTTCTATTAAAATGCCAGCACAACCATCTAGGGCATTATGCTCTTTGCTTCTTCTGTCCTGGAGAGAAAACACCACCTGCTTAAAAACCCCAGACCCCGAGTCTGATGGAGCATTGCCACTTAAAAGAACTAAAGATACGCAGACTGTTTCACTTCTTCTAAGCCTCTTCCCTTCAGGAGAACTGTTACTTCACTGTCTCTGTTCCCCTTCTTCCACTGATCATCCCTTCCCCCTCCAGTGTTATTTTTCCAATCCTACTCGCCCACAGCAGACAGACTTCAAGACCTGGAAGTGATACATCTAAAGAGAAGCTCTGGTCTGCAATCACACACACACCTCAGGCAGCAGAGCCCATGAATCCCCAGAACAGAGAACTCATGGACCCCCTGTGCCAACGCCAATTCCTAGCCCTGGGGGTGCTGCAGCTGTGTCAGCGAACAGATCCCAGAAACTGATGGAATCACAGAGAATGGTTTGGGCTGGAAGGGAGCTGAAAAGATCATCTGGAGCCACCCCTGCCATGGCAGGGACACCTTCCACTGTCCCAGGCTGCTCCAAGCCCTGTCCAACCTGGCCTTGGGCACTTCCAGGGATCCAGGGGCAGCCACAGCTGCTCTCGGCACCTGTGCCAGGGCCTGCCCACCATCACAGGTGGATTCATTCCCAAGATCACATCTAACTCTGCTCTGGCAGTGTGAACCCATTCCCCTTTGTCCTGTCACTTGTAAATTGTCTCTCTCCATCTGTCCTGTAGGTTCTATTCAGCAACTGTGAGGCCACAATTGTGTCACCTCAAAGCTTTTCCTCTCCAGGCTGAACAATCCCAGCTCTCCCAGCCTTTCCTCCCAGCAGAGCTGCTCCATCCTTCTGCTCATCCTGGAGCCTCCTCTGGGCTCTCTGCAGCAGCTCCAGGTGCTCCCTGTGCTGGCCCCAGGCTGGGGCAGCTCTGCAGGTGAGGTCTCACCTGAGCAAGTTGGGACACAATCCCAACCCCTTCCCTGCTGCCCACGCTGGGGGATCAGCCCAGGGCATGGGGGGCTCCAGGGGGCCAAGGCAGGTCCAGCTCTCCCCCAGCAGCACCCCCAGATCCTCCCAGAGCTGCTCCACCTGTGCCTGCCCAGCCTGTGTTTGTATCCCAGCCTGCACTGATATTGACCATCACGCAGGAGGCAGAAGCAAAACAAAATGATTACTTTTTAAACTAACAAACATTCTGCATGGACATATTTTGTAACAACTATGTCCAGATTAATATATTCCTACTAGAAACACTTTTCTGTATGTTCTGCAACAAAGACTGAGATTTTATTCTTATTTTAGTGCTAAGAGTGGGATGTGCAGCATGTTAAACTTATTAGAACTATATTAACTGACTTAAATTAATTTAAAAAATGGTTAAATTTTAAACAGTCATAGCATAAACCCTTATTAAAATAACACTGCAGAGTTAGGAGAGTGGTTTGCACACATGAGTAGTAGTAGTAAAACTAACATCTAATTTTTTTTTAAGCTTTTTAGATTTCCCCTGAAGCAGAGTGGGGTGAAAGCAATGGCAAAAAACAAAACCAAAACTAAACAATTCAGTTTCCAATCTCCAGCAACACTCTACATCCTGACAGGATGGCTGTTCCTACATTTTTTTCTGACAGTCTTTCAGACTAAGAGAAAAATGATTAATTCTGTCATTTCCAGGAAAAAACAAAAAAGCAACACAAGTCTTATGATGAAGGGAACGGTACGGTCTGGTCTACTCTTCATAGTGTGAAATTATGATTGTTATACTCTTGTTAGAAATGGGGCATCTGTACCGAATACTTCAAAGCCAGCAGCAAATCTGAAAACTGCATCAGTCAAAACTGTCCAAAAAGTAAAAAAAAAAATCCCATAAAAAAAATCCCATGGCTTAAGAACTTAAAACCAGAAGGATTTAAAAAAAAAATAAATAAAATCAGGGAATTTATTATGGCAAGATCTAAAGTTTGAATTTAGAATTTTCACAAAACTTCTGGTTTAACTTTCATGCCAATGCCGACTCTCAAGCACTTCTTATGCAGTGCCAAACCTCCTCATCAAGGTTTGATGTTAAGAAATTCAATTAAACTTCCCAAATCACAGAGCATGGACATGCAGGCCATAGGAATCTAAACCTGTGGGTTCCCTTATTGATCCCCCACTATCAGTCTATTAGTGGAACAAAAGCTTCTGTTTGTTCCCAATTAATTCCTGCTAATGCTGACTTCAATCTCAGTCCTTCACAAGGCTGTTTGCCTCTCTCATTATTTACAAACCACCTGGGGAGGATGCTGGGGGCCTGATGCCTCTGCTGCAGATTGCTCTTATCAGGGAATACTCTCATCAAACACTGAGTAATTCCTTCTTTGTGAATTAATGGCTATGGACATGTTTGAGGTCTCTGAGCTAAAACATTTAAAAAGGAATCTCTCCGAGATTCTTTTTAGCAGGAAAGGATTCTTGCAGAACTATCACAGCCAGAGAAGCTCTGGCTGCCCCTGGATCCCTGGAAGTGTCGAAAGCCAGGTTGGAAGGAGCTTGGAGCAACCTGGGATAGTGGAGGGTGTCCCTGCCCAAGGCAGAGGGTTGAAATGAAACAATCTTTAAGATCCCTTCCAACATAAACCATTCTGGGATTCTATGATTTATTTTCCATAGAAATTCTGACTTCTCATTTAAGCAGCCAACAATAAAAACCGACCACATTTCTAAAACACCTGCATCTGACCCTCTGTAATTTTTACTATGAAAACACATTTAATAATAATCATAATTAACCTTCCCCACAAGGATGCTTGGAGGCAACCTTAGAGACCTTTTAACCACGATCTTTAAAACATTTAGAAGCGCTTGAAAGACAATACGAGAATCCGATTCTGTTCTGCCTGTTACGTGGAGCACGATTTCAACAAGTTACCCCTCGAGTGGCAGCCACGGAAAGATCACGATCGCTTTAAGTGAGAATCGCACATTTCAGCTGTCAGCGCCGAGTGCTCCAAGCCGTTCAGCCTGTTGCATGGGGAAGCCTGAATAACCAGCGAGTGTCTTACAGCGAGTGTGACAGCGGAATTCTCCTGGATATCGCATCCCTTCCAGCAGCCGATGCCCTGAGCAATGCCGTGGGCTGCGGGGCTGCCAGGGACGAGGGGAGGGCACGGCAGCGATGCCGCGGCTGGGGAATAACGCTCAGTGTGGGGAGCCTGGGGACAAAAGGTAAATAATAAAGATTGGTTTTGAGTCCTCGGTGACACGAGGGGCTTTTATCGAGGTGTTCCCTGCTAGGAACCAGCGTGAGCTTAGACCAGACACGGAGAGGTGTTCGACACCCGTGTGGGGACAGGCTGGGACCCGCGGGCGGCTGTCTCCCGGCTGTTTTATAACCCAAATCTGCGGGGACGGGCAAGGAGCAGGAGACGGCAACGCGCCCCGTCCTCCCCTCAGCGCGGGGAACGGGACCCCCGTGCGCGGGCACCGCCCCGGGCCGGTCCCGACGCCTAGGTAGGACAGCCCCCCTGAAGCAAAGCGCTGCGGAGGGACGGGCACCGCGGGTGGCCCCCGCAGCCACGGCCCCGCGCGGTGCCCGTGTCCCCCGTGTGTCCCCCGGCCCGGCCCTGACCCACTAACACACCTCCGGCCAACATGGCCGCCCCGCCGCCCAGCGCAGCCTACCCTGGCCGCCGCCGCCCCGCCCTCCGCGCCCGCTCATTGGCTGGCTGCTCCGCCGCGCGCGCTCCCATTGGCCGCCGCGCCCGTCGCTCACCCGCCCAGCGGCCCTTTCAAGCTAGGGTGAGGCGACATGTAAACAAACCCCCTCCCGCCGCCCCGGCCGCGGCCCCGCGACCCCCGCGCCGCGCCCGCCGCTCCGGGCACCCGCCCGGCCGCCCCCGGCCCCGCCGCACCGGGCAAAACGCCCAGAGAGCCGTGCCCCGCGGGGGGCGGCCCCCGCCCGGCGACCCCCGCCTGGGCTGCGGGCAGCCGGAGCGCACCCGCGCGGCTCCACGGAAGCCTTTTCCCGGGGCCGCGGATCGCAGCGAACCGCCGTCCCCCCGCTCTGTCATTACATAAACGCCGCGCCGGAGCGAGGACGGTCCCGTCCTGTCCTGCCCCGCACTCGCAGAGCGGTGACCCCTCTCCGCCACCTCTGCTCCGCAGTCTTCGGAGCGGAGCCGCCCGTCGGGCACCAACATGACCGGGCACAGAGACTCCGCACGCCCACGGGTCACCCCCGGCCGTCCCGGGCATTCAAACAGGTCGCAAACAGAGGAAGCAACTACGAGCCCGAAAAGCAGAGAAGTGAAGGACCTGCGGAACCCTTCTCTCCCTTTCCGGGGAGCCCCTCCGCCCGCACACCCAGAGCGGCCGGGCTTTCCCGGCAGGACGGTGCTTTCCTCTCCCCGGCGCTCGCTGCAAGACTCGCTTTCCTTGTAAAGGCACGGGCCGCTCCCGCCGGGCGGAGGCTGGAGGGGACAACGCCGACAACTCTCCGCTCAGCCCGCACTCCGTCCCCACAGCCCCTTCTCATCGCCCCCACCTGGGCCCGGGCCCCAGAGCCCCGCTCCGGGACCGGACACCCCCGCGCACCGCTTCTCTCCCGCGGCCCCGGCAGCCACACCCCCCCGGCGGGCGAGCGGAGCGGAGGGGCCGCTGGCACCATCCCGGTCCCGGTGCCCTCGGCAGCCGGGCAGACACCTCCGTCCCGCTCTCCCTCCCTCCCTGCAGCCCCCTGCCTCTCGACACCGCCTCCTCCCGCCGGACCACCCGGGCCCCCCGACCCTCGGCCCCCTCGGTGCACCCGCAGCCCCCCGGAGCCCCGCGGCCGCCCCTCACCCCTCACTCACGGCGTTCAGCGGGGGCCGCAGCCCGGCGAGCCCCGGCCCGGCCCCTCCATGCGGCCCCGGGTTTGTTTGTTTATGTCCCTTCCTGACGGGTTCCCGGAAATCGCGTGACTCGACCCTCACGTGGCCCGAGGGGGCGGGCGCGCGCGGGGGGCGGGGGGAAGGGGGCTGCACCAGCCAATGGCGAGGAGGTGTCTCTGTCACGTGACGGCGGCGCGGCGCGCGGGGGGTATTTAAGGCGGGGAGGCGGGTGCCCACGGGCAGAGCGCGGCGGGGCGGCGGTGGCTCTTACGGCTGTGCCGGGCTCTTCTCCCTACATCTCCCCACACGCCGAACCTGCTGCTCTGCGGCCCCGCTCACTTCACTCACTCACCCCTCTCCATCCGTCCATCTCCTACCTGCAGCGCTCTATATTTCCTACTGTCCTCAGCTATATGCACAACCACCTTTCGCAGTGACAGGTGGCTGGCCTGCACTGCTTCAGACACAACTGGAGAAATTATTACTAATAAACATAATAAAAAATAGACCCACCTGTTCTTGTTTTGCTATTTATAAAGAATGTATTTTATTCTTTAAAGAAGTTTTTGCATTTCACCTCATTTCTTCTATTTTTGCCCGAGAGAGTCCATAACATTAAAGTCTGGAAACAAGGGAGCAGCCACCCACCTCTGGTAACTCAGCCCTTGACAGGAGTAAAATGCTTCCATGGTTTCCACCAGAACAAAAGTAAACGTCTATAAAGTCTCCAGAAAATATTTCTTGTGAGGGGCAGAGATGCTGATATTTGCATTTCCTAAACAATATGAACAAAAGCAGTTACAAGCATTTGAAATGACCCTGACCTGAACTCTCGCTCTACACATTGCCAGAGTTTGTCTTAAAAGTCTTCACAACTTGACTAAAGAGGCAGTTTCCTTCACCTTCCTCATATTTTTTACCCAAAGATCTTTCAGGTTTTCCATTTCAAGCACAAACTTCTTTCTTTTATACTTGAACATTCTGCATTCTCTTCTGCTGTCAGAAAACGGAGGGATGCGTGATAAATGCTCTGGTACCTGCATTGTTTGTTAAACACCAGTGGCTGAGTCCCTCTGTTCTCATTTCCTGCAGTCATGCAAAAAAAAAGAAATTATCCCAAGCAGCGTGAATTCCTGGTACACATGGAGCAGACCATTCCCCAGCCTCCATGGAACATCCAGCAGAACGGACACAAAACAATTCTTTCAGCTTCTTCAGTCATGCTACCACCTGGCATCTGCTTCAGAGGAAATATAAACCACTCTGGAAAACGGAAATGTCTTCCTGGGAAGCATCTAGGTGAAAATTGCTCTATGGCTTCTTTGTCCTGCCTTGGAATAGCTCCTTCCATTAAATTCAGCACCAGTGAGACACCCCATGGGAACTCTGTTTTACTTCCCTCCTCCAGAGCAAGTGAGAGCTTAGAACCTAAAATAGAAAGCTTGTTAAAGACAGTGGTAACACAATAAACAGCACTGTTTGTCACTCAGTGTTTTCTTGTGTCCTCTTCTTAGGCTAAATACCACAAGAAGAGCAACATATTTTAAAATCTCAAATCTGTCAACAATATCTTCAAGTATTTCTCTCCCTCTCCTCATACAATGTCAACATATTTTATTCTCCATACACTTCAAAAATTAAACAACAACCTTATGTTTTCATATGATCACTTGGTTTCAATTTTCCTAGGAATTATTTGGTCCAGACTGTCTAACATGACGATGTACAACATCTTGCATGGTAAAATACAGGTAACATGACAAAAAAAAAAAATCTGCTATTCCAGTCCCAACAGCTGCTATGCTTATTTGTAATAATCAGCATGGTCTTCCTTCTTTTGCAATTCACACTGTCCAGTTTTGGATCACTGAAAGTTGCATGTCAGGATCTTGGAATTTCCTGTGTAGTTACGAGTGCTGTCCCACTAAACATGTTAATAGTGCTACCCAAGAGGGAAAAGCAAAGAAAATATTAACCATTCCATTATGTCCTTGTGCATAACAATAAATAATAACTGTAATTTATTTGGACAAGAGGTGAGGAAGCATTCAGGAAGCAGCATGTATATCCTCTGAAGCTGCTCCTCAGCAAACAAATGACCAGATCCATCCCAAATCCCACAGACTCAGCTGACACTGAGGAGCCTCAGGAACCTCTTGCCTACGTTGCCTTGTGCTTTCCCAGGTCAGCAATTCCACACTGACACAAGGGTCAGGTCAGTAGAAAATAACTGGAATGCTTGCTGTTCAATTCAAGCCATTTGCTCCTATAAATACCCTCCAAATGTTGCAGGGATTAAATCAGCCTCCTGTCAAAATCACTGTAAAGGCTTTGTCAAAATTAACCACGTTACCTTTGCTACTCCAAGTCCCCCTCAGAGAATGGGAAATTCCTGGAAAAGAGGCTCTCAAGCCAAGCATTCGCTTATTCCTGCACCTTTCAGCAATTTTAGATTGCAAATTTAATCCTATTATAGATCTACCCCAGAGGTCTCGATACAGGCAACAATCCCCCATCTATTCCTACTATTTAACTCCATTACAATTCATTACATCATCTAAATATCCTCAGCTCAACTCCAAGATTCCAATTAAACCCACAGAAAAGTAACAGTTAAACATGGCACGAGAACATTTTGTATCAAGCAGAGGATTAGTTTTATTTCCAGGCATGAGAAATTTAAGGCCAGATTTCTCAAGAATACAATTCATTTGAAAAAGAACATAAAATAAAATAAAGAATTGCCATCAGCACGTGATATCACTGTTTTTCCTCTCCTCACACAGTTTATTGCACACATTTGTGTCCAGTGCAAACAGAACAGGGGTGAACAGCAAAATGACGGACGAGCTAAGACCTGCAAATATAAAGTGTCATTACAGAAAAAATGAACAGGAAATGAGATTCCATGACCCGTAAAAATAGAAATTTTCATCACACCTGGAGTTAACAGTCAAAAATTGACAGTACCAAAGAGGAGTATAAATTGCATTAGGCACTCTGTTAAATGAAATAGTAGGAAAAAACACAGAGCTTTGAAGAAGCCACTTGAAGAACATTAGAAAGGTTAAGGCATTACTGCAGGCTTCGTATCCAACCAGCTACGGAAAGGGCACCTTTGGGTCACTGGAGTTTTTCATCTCTTCTTCACCTGCAAAGCAAGAGGCAACTTCATTATTCCCTTCCACGGAGACACGTTGCTAATTAAAGGCCTGGCTGTTAACCACAGCTATTTCCATTCCACCAATGCACTGAGCAATGGTCAAGAACTGGAGATAATTCATCTGTGTGGATGTTTTCTTAGCAGTTTCATTTCTGAAGTTACTGCAAGTAGTTTTAGTTACATTCTAAGCTGGTAGAACAACTATTTCCCTCAAATGTTTTCACTGCTGTAACAGCACCCAGGGAGCTGGATGACAGCCCTTCTCCACTTGCACAAAGTTCCTGCTCTGAGAACACAGAGTGTGAATTCACCAAGCTAAGGAGAAAAGGCAGTGTTGGAGCACAGTTTGGAGGAGTCCACAGCCTGGATTCACCACGGCTACAGAGCTCTGTGTGCTCTCACAGCTGCCATCCAGGCCATTAACTCAGTGATCTATCAACTGAATTGCTATAAAATCATCCCTTGGATGGGAGGGAGACTGCCTGAAAACACAGAGCAAACTTGTGGAATTTGGCACAGATCAATCAAGCCAGCATATGCAGAGTTCCTCAGCAGAAGACGAGGAGCTCACTGAGGCATTTTCAGGCTGCTCAGTTGGTAAAGTAAAGTAAGTTTGCTTTAATCATCCTTATTTTTAAAGATCTTTCCACTTTGGGAGTTAGCACTTCATTCTCTTTGCATTTTCCATACTAATCCACCCAAACCTCAACTGAAAGGAACAGGAGGCAGAAACAAGTATAGTACGTGTCCCCTGAATGCTGGAAAAGCACATCTCAAAATCCAGAAATAACTGGTTGCTACACTGATGGGAATCCATGCAGTGTCAGAGAGATATCGCAGCTCTTATCAGATGGAATCTCACTCCCAGCTCCTGCCTAGGCACAAACTCCACAAGAGCAAGGACAGGACATGGAGCACCTCAGCCCTGCAATAACACTCGAACAACACTCTAGTGGTGTGACCTGTGACAACGCATTTCAAGCAACAAAGAACAGATATTTGAGGATTATTATATGCTTTTATTTCTCTAAACCTTTTTTTTTTTTTTTCCAGAGACAACAACCTTAATTTTACTCCAAAATCAAGCCAATAAAATCAGATGAAAGGTTAAAACAAACTCCTTCATGTAACACAACATGTGCTATGCAGGGCTGAAATGCTCCATTAATGAGTTTAAAAATGACAGCTCCTCAGAAACTCTGCAGTCATCCTCAAACACACAAGTTCCCTCTCTTCCTTGGTACAAATTTAACTCCAGCTCTCTGGAAAATCCTTCTGAATTGGAGGGGAAAGGCCTGATTCTGTTAGCAGGAGTCCAGAGGTTGTCTCTCCTCCTGCCTCTCCTTGCTGGTTTCAACACACAGATCGTGAAGCCAAATTTTTATGTCCAGATAACTCCAATTTCAGATCCCAGGCAACTGAATCATCCTATGGGATTCAGGGATCTTTGTGCCCATTACCAAAACACACTGTTCTCTGTTTTAGCTAACTAATTATATGTTAGCACCCAAGCAGTGAAAATGCTCCTAGGAAATTCTGCTTGACTGACTTTGCTAATTACAGGCCTGGAGTTGAAGCAGGGCCAAGTCTACCTTTAGTTTCTGCTTGGTGCTTAAAAGGAGCTGCAGACACACACAGGCCCAGTCTGACAACGTCCCAATTCACAGGAAGCATTCTCTGAAACTGGGGAGCAGATGTCCAGGACACTTCACAGAAAGCATTTAACAGAGCTATAACATCAATTGTCACTGCCTGCTGCACCGAACTGAGACTGTGTGGTGCAAAGACCAAAAAAAAAAGTGTTTAATTATTCAGTTACCAGCTTAAAAACTATAATCATGGCTGCTTGTTTCCACATTTCCTTCATTTGAACCTTCAATTCCAAATGCTGCCCTCCTGGACAAGCCCAACAGCA